AAAAAAAAAATGGTTGCCTGTAAAGTCGTTTTTACGGGCGAAGATTTTACGTGACAACGTCTTTTTCTCGGTAGAATATTTATTGATATGAATATAATTAAATTGCACAATAGGAACAAGGAATTGAATGAACTAGTGCTGCGCGCGCGGCAGACCGATCATAGTTGAGTGGGAGAGAGACGCAAGGCATTCGGCGGGCCTCTCTCTCGTTCGGTGACTCATCGTAACGTTACCGAGCGTTACACTTTTTCATAAGTGACTCCCAGCCGCAACCTAATTTAAGACGTTGTCACGTCAAAAAATCATTGAAACCTCTACACATAAATTTGTAGGTATTCACATCGCATGTGCCACCCGACAAGAGATACCTCATCGGAAATTACATGGCGTGATGTTATACCAATTTACATGTCGCGGAGAACCTAACGGGTAACCGGGGCTCCGACTCGACGTGCAGGAGAAGGAACGGGGTGGTTTTTAGTCAGTAAGAGTCTGATACTCCCTCCCGCCTCACCCAGGCGGGAGCAGTCATTCGATGATTTTCCCCCCTTAAACAAAAAAAAATACCAATTTACATACTATGAGTCCGTATGCGCTTTCGAAGTTTTCTTTTCGCAATGGTTCACCAGTTATTTTATGTTTTAAACATTTGTAACGTTGGAATCTTTATTGCAGCCTACACGCCAGGATGTGGGATGAAAAGGAGGTTCGAATGCGCGAAAACTATAGTGAAAAGCTTTTATTAACATAACGAGTGTACTTAAAACTGCACAAACAAGGGTTAACTTAAAATGTAATACTTAATATGTAACCGGGTGCCTCGCAGAATAGCGGCTACGCGCTCTCGCGGCTTGTTGTCCACTGTCGTTAAGGGTGCGTCCGAGCAAAAACAATAAAGGACTCTTGCGGAACATCTCTCGCCGCCGTCAGGTATGCGCCTAACATATCATCAAACCTCGTGTTACTCTGGGACGATTACTTGGGGACTGGGACTACTTTGGGACGAAAACGAAATAGACTTTACGGAGTATTTAATTGTCATCAAAATTTACCAGTTTTCACAAAAAATATTTTTTTTTCTCTGCTCGTAATTATTACAAAAATCTACGAATACTTTGTTATGTTTTCGTTTCAACTTCTACCAAAACTTCCACCAGATTTTCTATTTACATTGTTACTAACCATTTGACTGACTTTTATCTAAAATAGAACTAATAGATACAGAACGGGTTTACAAATTCAGATTAGCTCATTGAACTGGCCAAAACCTAAATAAACTTTAGCTTTATGATAGTAAAATAGTTGAAATATTGCGCTACACACATGGGTACTTTTAGTCTGTTCTTCAAGTTTAAAAATAGTGTTTAACCGCGAATTAATAAATTTTGCATTACGACTTACGAGATTTAACCACGAATTTTTCTAATTCTTTGATAAGAAATACTTTTTTTACAAACCGACTTCAAAAAAAGAAGGAGGTTCTCAGTTTCACATATATGTTAATATGTTTGTGCATGATTATCTCGCGACTGGCTGAACCGATTACGATGTGGTATTCAGTAAAGTGTTTGTTACATTTAGGAAAACTTTCAAAAAAGAGGGGTTTTAGTTAAACATAGTTTATAAAATAATTTTTCTTCGTACCGTTCATAGTACACACGGCTACACATCGAGCTTTACATAACCAGTATAAACTGAACGTTAAATGTGCGGAAAGATGATGCGACGCGAGGCCATGATAAACTGGTTTTGTATAGGTTGATGTGTAGCCGTGTGTACAGAATCTGAAATCGTGAAGTTGTCTCCCTATTGCACAACTAGTAACCTGTTAGTAGTAACATCATACTTGACAAATAACTAATGTTACGTTTGCAATCAACATGTCCATTGCCTCGTTTTTGGTGACATATTTTAAGTGTGGGAAAGCCATGCTTCGACACGAATGGGCCGGCTCGACCCGAGTGATACCACGGCCTCACAGAAAATCGATGTGAAACAACGCTCGCGGTGTGTTTCGTCGTGTGCGTGAGGTGACCAGAGGCCCAATTACCCTTCTTTCAAACCCTACATCCCCAACAATCCTTAAATTCCTAATCCCCAAACGGGCGGTAACGCACTTGCAACGCCTCTGGTATTTTAGGTGTCCATGGGCGACGCTGATTGCTTACCATCAGGGTTTTACCATCCGTTTGCTAGTTTACCGGCTAATCACATTAAAAAAAAATCCAATCCAGATAGAATTTAACCCAATATTGAGCAATATATAAATCGGAACCAAAAATCCAATTGCATAATGCTTTGAGTCAATAAGATTAAAGTAAAATAAAATTGCACCATCATAATGTGTTGTATGAAATATAAAAGATACCAAGTACCAAATATAAAAGATATCATTACACAATAATCAATAATATTTATATTACACGTTAATCTTATTATCAGTCTTCCTCACTGATAAAGTAGACATACACGTGAAGTGGGACTGGTGTCTAAAGGCCCTATTTCATAAGGACACGGTAGCCCGACAAGTTGCGCAACTATATAGTTTACATAAAATTACAAATCAATCGCTAGAGAAGATTCGTTTGCCGGAAATTTATTAGATATACACCTACAAGGTTACATGGGGTAACCTTTCATACAGTTGTACTTATACATTTTCTGCCTCTGAACTTTCTCTCTTTCTCTTTCTCTCTCCTCTCTCTCTCTCTCTCTCTCTCTCATTGACTCTCTTTGGACTGATTTTTAGTTTGATATCCATGGCGACTAAACCACCAACCTCACGTCCAAATTTAGATCCTACTGAGAATTTCCACATTGAAAAAAACCCAATGCTTTGTTCAACCTGCAGTTAGAACCCAAGACCTCGATCTTGGTAGTTCAATACTATGGTCACGCAATGAATCAGTAAATTAATATTTACTCGTCTAATTTATGCATTTAGCGGTACTTAATGACGATGACAACGTTGCTATAGATGTATGAGATCAGCCTCCAAATCCTTAGATACGTTCTCTTTATAAAACAGGTAGTATTTAAGGTACTAGAAAAGGCACTTTATATAGTCAGGAAGTGACGGAATTTTGCCTACATGGTTTTGTTTTCCACGAACGAAGATAATTATACAGGATCATCAGCTTCCAAGCTTTCCCTTAGACGATGACTGAAACAGTAGGTACAGAGATTGAAAATTATAAATAAATTTCCTGTTTTATGCAAGTACCTATAGGTTCTATAAATAACACTATAACAATAAATACATAGCCAAGTGAGTGACATTTCTTAACGCCTCTACTCCGAAAAGCAATAAGCAATAAGAAATTATTTTCAGTAAAAAAATCGCACATTTTCCAAATATTGAAAACTATTTTTATGACTTTCTTCCAATACTATCCTCACCTACGACTAAAGTTGACGTGCAATCAGAAAGGTTCATACGAAAATAAAATTTCAAAGAAGACTGCTGTCCACCTTGAATGATGTCTTCTACGTTTTCATTTGTACGGAACACTGAACAAAATGACATGTGTCGTAATATCAGGCGTATTTTTAAATAATAATGAAATGATTGTGCAATATTGTCAATTGAAGAGATTCCTACAGGTGAGACCATAATAGTGCGTGCAAACATACCGACAAAAAATGCGACGTCGCAGAATGTATCGCTATATATAAAGAGTTGAAAATTGGATACCACTGGAGAGGCCTATGTCCAATAGTGGATGGAAATGGGTTTCTCGATGCTGATGATGACAACTAGCATAAATTACATATATCGTATGAATGTTATAAGCGACGATTTTTTATGCACTCTGTTGTCGTATCGTATTTTGCCGTACGATATCACCATTGCGCGCGCTGTTGTGGCCTCGCCCTATCAACTAACTATTTTATCTTGTTAAGTGCTTGGTCATGGTGATAAGAGCTATTTGATGCAGTCATCTGTTTATTTTTGTTTTGTATAATAATATGTAATCAATTAAATTTGCAGGCAGCCAGAGATAGCATGATTTAAAAACTATTTCTAATCTGTGTTTTTGCGTATTTTTTCTTTAATTATTAAGTATAAACATAATATTGTGAAATACCCAATCGATCGAAGTTCCATCATTCCAATCTAAAATTAAATGCTCATGTCTATCACACATACTTTTTGGGTGGAGATCTTAATTAGTCCCAAATCTAAACTTAAGAATAACGGGCAACAAAATTGTTACTTAAAATAAAAAATATTGAAATGTTTCATAACGATCTTCCTGGGTTTTCACACAGATTTCATTGACCGTTTACTTAATTCCTATTTAGTAACATTATTATTATACTTCTATACACATTAAGTAATAATATTTTTATCAAAATAATCTGCAAATATGGCTGAGTCATTACCGGCTTGTCTGCCGCGATATCAGTACATAATTACATTTATATAGAGACGATCTCAAAGATTTCATTTAGTTGTTTCGTAACTCTCGAATACAATGTCTGTGCTGTGGTGTATAGTTAGTGCCTATATTATAGTAGTAAGTCCAATACAAGCCTCGAGGATTCTCTTCTACATCCCTACGCCGTCCATCAGCCATCAAGTAGTGTTCCGTCCTCTGGCCCAGACACTGGCCAGCCGAGGTCATGACGTCACCGTCATCACAGCAGACCCCGCCTTCCCGAAAGGAAAATCACCAGCAAACTTAACAGAAATAGATGTACATGACATGTCTTACGAGATATGGCAAGAAGGAATTATGAAGGAGACAAGAGGCGACACAGGTGATCTGAAAGCTCAACTAGCACCAGTAATGAGGACATTGTATACGGTGTTTGATAAACAACTGCAAGAGGAGAAGATTCAGAATTTGATTAATGACAAAAACAAACAGTTTGACTTGGTGATATTGGAAGGAGTGCTACCACCACTCCTCGTATTCTCACATATTTATAAGGCACCAGCAATTTTAATGAGTAGTTTTGGTGGTTTGTATGGACATTATGAATCAGTTGGAGCTCCCACGCATCCACTCTTATACCCCCTGAACATACGTCAAAAATTAGGTGACCTGACGCTGTGGGATAAATTAAGAGAATTATTCGTTTATTATGCAGTAGAAAACCTTTGGTACAGTTTCTATGATCTAGGCAACAGCATACTAAAAAAACATTTTGGGCCAGACGTACCCAATGTTTGGGAATTAATGGATAATATTGATATGTTGTTCCTGAATATACATCCCATGTTTGAAGGCATTAGACCTGTTCCACCCAATGTTATCTACTTGCACGGTTTGCATCAAAAGCCCAAAAAAGACCTCCCTCAGGTACGTAATGCTTTTCAACGATACATTCCTAATTGCTATGTGTAAATAGACATGATCTGATTCAAATCTTGTTTTCCAGGATCTGAAGTCTTACTTAGATTCGTCCAAACATGGTGTCATTTACGTGAGCTTTGGTACCAATGTAGATCCTGCTCTATTGCCGCCAGAAAAAATACAAATATTAGTACGAGTGTTCTCTCAGTTGCCTTACGATGTTTTGTGGAAGTGGAGCAAAGATGAATTGCCTGGTCGATCTCCAAACATTAAGATAGCTAAATGGTTCCCACAACCGGATCTACTCAGTGAGTTTATACATTAAACAAAAACCTAAAATATTATCCAATGGGCAATTATCTATAACACATACTGACTGCTAATTTGTGTGCGAATTTCTTTCAGAGCATCCCAATGTGAAGTTGTTCATAACACAAGGAGGATTACAGTCCACAGACGAGGCCATCACTGCAGGAGTTCCATTGATCGGCATGCCGATGTTAGGTGACCAATATTTCAACGTAGAAAGATACGTTTACCATGGTTTTGGTATCAGACTGGACATGGAAGCGCTGACTGAAGAAAAACTTAAGCATGCAATTAACGCTACAGTAGAAGACGAAAGGTATTTAATTGAAATTTAATTAATAAATCTAAAACAGTAATCACTCGTCACAGCTAATGTAAGATTGACCCATAGAATGTTTGATAATGTCCGGCTGGACATTGTCAAACATCAGTCCCCATTTGAAGCCAAGTGGCAACTTAATCAGTCATTCCCGGAATCAAAAAAAATAGATACTTGTTTGGTGTTTTTACAGTTTTTCTTTGTTACAGTTACCGTCGCAACATGGAACGTTTCCGCACTCTAATAAATGATTCGCCGCAGACACCGTTGGAGCGCGCTGTGTGGTGGACAGAGTACCTACTGCGACATGGTGACGCCAAGCACTTACGCTCACCCAGTGCCAATATCTCGTGGAGACAGTACTTAGAACTTGATCTAGTCTTAGTCTTACTATCAGTATTGTTAATAGCTGT